GTGTGTGTGTGTGTGTGTGTGTGTGTGTGTTTGCTCAGTGGAAGCCTGGAGCTGCCCAGAGCCTCACCCCTTGGAGTGTGACCTGTCCTCTGGCTGCTGCTGTTTGGATTTATGTCCCCTGGTGTCCATGTCAGCGTGGCAGCAGGCATTAGCTCTGCTCTGTTGGAGAATAAAGGTCGTGTATGTACGTGCTCTCTCCCAAGTGAGCTGCGATTATCTTCCACTCCTAGGACTCTGTCACTCACCTCAGCCCCGTTCACTCCACCCAGTGAGCTATCTGCCGCCTGCGCTCAACTGTGAAGTCACCGCATCCGTTTCACTTCTGGAGGCTTGGCACGCGGCCTTAGAGATGATTTCTGTCTTGAAAAGGGTCCAAAAACTCGGGAGACCAAACTCTCAGGTGATCCTCCAAAATGCATAGGGAGACACACCCATTCCCAAATGTTTGTCACTGGGCTGCAGTGGTAAGTCCCTCCAGGTCAGCACTAGGGATGAGCAGAGGGCCAGAGGGTGAGACAATTCAACACATTAAACCTCAAGCAGAAATCAAGAGGAAAAGCAGAGATTTTGGCTGCTTCTTCATTTTTTTAAACATTTTATTTTAATATTTTGCCAGGCCAAGCATTGAACCTGGGGCCTTTGGGATGCTAGGCAGGCGCTGGGAGTTTGGTTTCTCAATCTAAGTTGAGTTAAATTCCTGGCTAGAGGGCGGCCCCCCTGGCCTCTAGCTCTGAGCAGCAGCTCACAGGAAAGGGCTGTAAATCCAAGGAGACCGGGCACTTGTCCTGCAGTCAACACTTGTCACCCTTTCCACGAGGGAATGAGCTGCAGTCAGGAAGGATGGAAAAATAAGAATCCCTTAAAATTCCTTGTTGTAAACACTCATCTCAGCAAGTACTTGCTGAGCCTTTGCTGCGGTCTGAGATGGCTGGGAAGACACTGTCCTTCGAGGTTTGCACGGGGAGCATCGGCAGTCGTCTGGGGATGAGGGATGCAGCCTCAGAGACGAAGCCGTCTCAAACGGGCACCTTGTTGACAATGCCGAGTGTGTTCTCCCCTTGGAGTAATTGTGATTTGTATCGAGCATCAAATGCTAGAGGTATATAAAGTCATGGTTCTCATTAGCTTTTAGGGTCTCACAGTCCGAAGGCTAAAGAGATGGGTCAGTGGTTAAGAGCAGTGGCTGCTCTTGCTGAGGTCCTGGGTTCAGTTCCCAGCACGCACATGGTGGCTCACAGCCATCTCTAACTCCAGTTCTGGGGGAAGCCAATGTCCTCTTCTGACTTTCACAGGCACCGGGCATGCTTGCAGAGCACTGACATCCACACAGGCAAAACAATCATAAAATAAATCTGAAAACAAGAATCTGCACGGTTCTCATACCAGGTCTCACGACTTGTTGTATCCCTGACCATGACAATCTTATGATGTAGTTTTAGCATCCTCATTTTTAAAAAAGTAGGTTTCTGTCCCAAAGCAATAAAGAGAAACCCTGTCTCGGAAAAAAATTATTTATTTAAAAAATTTTTGCTTGTTTTGTGTTTTTTGCTTTTTGTTTTTTCAAGCAGGGTTTCCCCTGTGTATCTTTGGAGGCTGTCCCGGAACTAGCTTTTGTAGACCAGGCTAGTCTCAAACTCATAGAGATCGGCCTGCCCCTGCCTCCCGAGTGCTGGGATTAAAGGCGTGTGCCACCACCACTTGGCTTACTTATTGGATTTTTAAAAATGCTTTATGTAAAAGCATTATGGTTCACATAGTGAATAACACCACAGTGGGATGATTTTAAACAGATTTAAAGAGAACAATTTCAGATTGTAAAGCTTGGTGGGAATAGAGATGAATGCAGCCAAATGGAAGTCAGTTTGGAGGTTCCTCAATAAAAAGGAAAAGTAGACCTGTCATATGACCCGACTCTACTACTCCTGGGTGTATACTCAAAGTGTCCGGGACTGCCCCATAGAGATATTTGCACATCCATGTTTATTGCTGCTTTATTTATGATAGCAAGGAAATGGAAGCAGCCTAGATGTCTGGCCGCAGATGGCTGGCAGATGCATAAAACAGACTGTCATCCAGAACAAAAGAAATAGGAGATTTGCAGGAAAATGGACAGATCTTGGAAGTGTAACATCAAGCAAGCTGACAAACTCAGAAAAAAAAAGCTGAGTGTTTGAACTCCTATGTGGGTCCTAGTCTGTGGTGTATGCGTATATGTGTGTGTGGGGGGATATAAGAGGTACAGATACATGTACAGTCTAAGTGTGTGTGTGTGTGTAAACAGTACAGATGCATACACAATCTAAGTATACGCGTGTGTGTGTATAAACAGTACAGATGCATACACAGTCTAAGTATACGCGTGTGTGTGTATAAACAGTACAGATGCATACACAGTCTAAGTATACGTGTGTGTGTAAACAGGTACAGATGCACACAGTCTAAGTATACATGTGTGTGTAAACAGGTATAGATGCACACAGTCTAAGTATACATGTGTGTGTAAACAGGTATAGATGCACACAGTCTAAGTATACATGTGTGTGTAAACAGGTATAGATGCATACACAGTCTAAGTATAAATGTGTGTGTGTGTGTGTAAACAGTACAGATGCACACAGTCTAAGTATACGTGTGTGTGTGTGTGTGTGTAAACAATACAGATGCACACAGTCTAAGACATATGCAGGAGACCACGGGACAGCAGTATCAAGTATGAGGAGAGACTGTAGTGCAGGCAAAAGGACACTGAGTTGAATTATTCCTGCTTGCTTCAACTCTGTCACTGTTTTCTCTATTTGTAGTGGAAATGTGAGTTCAGCCTTCTGGGTGTTGAGGTAGTAAGAACTACTCTTTTTTTATTTTTTATTTTTTGGTTTTTCGAGACAAGTTTCTCTGTATTGTTTTGGAGCCTGTCCTGGAACTTGCTCCTGTAGACCAGGCTGGTCTCAAACTCACAGAGATCCGCCTGCCTCTGCCTCTGCCTCCCGAGTGCTGGGATTAAAGGCATGTGCCACCAACACCTGACTAAGAACTACTTTTACATTTCGGAAGAATCTGCTGTGGCATTTTTTTTCATGGCAGCGATCAGGAAACTTGGGCTCTCTTTTTAATTTCCTTTGACCATCAGTGTACTGGGAAGCGAATGGCAAGCCACTGAATGTATTTGTCACACTGACCCACTTAGAAAAGGCACCGCCACCTTACAGGTGAGGGAACCGATTCAGAGAGGTCGAACGACTTCCTCTGCCTCATTCTGGCAAGTGATAAAATGGGGATTGAAACCCTCGGTTTTCGGCTGGGAGTTCACCTCCTTCAGGGTTGTGCTGGGGCGTCTTTCGGTCTGTGGGAAATCCCACGTGTCCTCTAAAGTGGGGTCCAAAATTCTCTGGACGTGGGTTTGGAAAGACGGCTCCGCAGTTCAGAGTACCAGCTACTCTTGTAGAGAACTTGGGTTTGGGTCCCAGCACCCACATGGCAGCTCACAGCCACCCACGACTCTAGGTCCAGAACATCTAAAGCCCTCTTTTGACTCCTTGGTGCACATTCCCATTTCAGGGTTTAATGTCCAATGACATGATCTCGAGTAACACCGTGGGAAAATCTCGGGAAATTTTCACAGGAAATTGTAATTCATAACATTTACATGGTCCAGTTAATGTTTATTTAAATTTCAGTTTTCCAGGTACTAATAAAAATTGCCTCCAAACTTCTCCTGAACTGTCTTTATACATTCATAAAACAATTCTCAGCGCTTCAATATTAGTTTTATCTGTGTCCACCGTCTCCAAGTTTTCCAGTTAAATGGCTGTGTTTTATCTCTGATACTAGTGTCCTGGCTCTTGGACCTGGATATCGACCTGAGGTTAGTCTGAGTTAATGATTAAAATCTCACGGTGGACATTATTCTTTGTTGCTTGGAAGTATTCTGGGTCATCATTTTCTTCATCCGTGTAACACTGATTCTGAAACAACACAGACTGAGCACTAGAAAAACCCCACCTGTCATTGTTGGTTTCAGACCATGAGTAGCCTTGTAGTGCTCTCTGCGTGTGCATCTAGCCCCCTCTTTACTGGTAACTGTGCTTATCTTAAAATAAAAAAAACAGTTTATTTATTTTTAATTATGTGTGTGTGGGTGCATGTGCTTACATACAGGGTCCCTCAGAAGCCAGAGGTGTGGGATCTCCTAGAGCTGGAGTTACACGTGTCGGACTGCCTGACATGGGCGCTGGGAACCGAACACAGGTCCTTTGTAAGAGCCGCCTGGGCTCTTAAGTGCGGAGCCGTCAATCTAGCTGCTTCTCGCTTCTTTTTCCTCAGCAGTGACATGCTCAGCCCACTGTGCTGTCCCCGAGCACTCCTTTTGCTGTTTATTTAGTTACAAAGGCTGGCCTAAGTTTCCAGTCCTCATACCTCAACCTCCTGAGTAGCTGCCATGACAGGCAGACACCATTAAGGGTAGCTTTTGTGAGCAGTTTGATACCCAAGGCCACTCTGTCCTTTATCAGGTCATTCGGCCACAGAGCCTGTTTACAAGGCTCCAGAAACAAGTTTCTATTAAGGATGGTTCTGTGTTTTTGTCTGTTGCCTTTTTGGACTCTCTCTCTTTCTGCATAAATCTTTTTTGTCATCTAGATTCTTATGATTCATTCAAAAGAAATTTAGAGGCCAGACTGGCCTTTAAGCAAACGTTTCTAGCAGGCTGACCTATTTTAATGTCGCTTTAAGGTTACTCCAGGCTGGTGAATAAGAACATATTCACGGGCAGCTAAGTCCTCAGCTGTCGATTCCTAAAAGACGACTCAGACTTCTGGAGATCTGAAGTGTTTTTTTTTTTTTCCTTCAATGATTCAGAATCAGTTTTGCAACATGAAAGCTGCCTGTGAGTCATGTTTATGGATGGGCTGTATTTCCTTAGAACAGGCCTCACTTCCTTATGGCTTTAATTCAGCTCTCTGAAGGCTGCCATCCACCCCCCCACCCCCACCCTGCCCCCCATGCTTGAAGGAGGATACCCAGCTCCCTGGACCTTGGCTTTGCCACCAGCTTCTGGAAGAGCTGGGACTAGAGACAGGTTCTGTGAGGCCTTCCTGACCTGGGCTTAGAATTCACAATGGAGTGGGTAAGTTGTTTTCCAAGGCATGGAAAGAAAAATCCTCTCTAAGAATATCAGGGCTACTTTCTAAGTTCTAAACCCTTCTTCCGGGTCCTGTGCGAGCTCCAGGTGCCATCTGTGAGTGGCTGGGCAGCAGACCTCACCCTCCTCAGAATGCATTCAAACGGGACAAAGCAACACACACCTTTGGCTATTTGTGGTGGGGCGGGGGAGCTCAGTGGATGTACGTTGCCAAGGTTTGGAGAAGAGAGAGAGAAAAGCCCCTCTTCAGGTCTAGACAGACCATTTACAGTATTTCTGGTTTCCTTTTTTCTGATCAGGAAATTAGATCAACAGCCTTATAGGGAAAAGTTCATTTGGGTCACAGGTGGGGCCCTTGTTAGGTGTCGACTACTTCATCCATATTAGGTAACAGGAACTGCCTGAAAGGCATTTATTTTTCATTCTGTGTCATTCAACCATAAATGACTCAGTTCTGATACTATTTACCAAGCTCAGGCTGAACTCACCAGGGAGGCAGCTGTAAGAGTCTCTGTAACTCAGTCTCTGCAGGGCGCGGGGTATGAGGAGGCTGCCGGGGCCAGAGGGGCTCCTTTTCATTTCCTGAGACTCATGTCCCGGGGCCCAAACGCTTCAGTGCTCAAATAGTGTGGTCATAATCAAAGGGATTTTACTGTCACTAGGTAAAGCTCCTTCACGCTCAGGGGGATCTCACAAAGTCAGCCTGGAAACCACACAGACCAAAGAAGCTAATTAGTAACAGCCACAATCTCGGAACTGCAACACTTACACATTAGTCTAACATTCTGGACGCCAGGACATCTCATTGTTGGCTCTCTTTTAAGTAGGCTTTGCTTTTTGGGTGACTTTAAATTCATGACAACATTGAATGGCAAGTGTGGGGTTCCCCAGCACCCAGCCCCCTTCTCCAGGCACAGCTCCCCACTATCAATATCTGCTACCTTTGTCACAGTTGATAGACTTACAGTCATGCCACTGTCACCCAAAGTCCATAGTTTACCTGAAGGTTTACTCTTACTCTGTACACTCTGTGAGTGCTGAACAATGTGAGAAGACCCAGGGCTCCATTAAGGCATCACAAATCAGTCTGACTGCCTACAACCCCTCTCCTCTGCACTGACATACTCAAGAGACTGGAGGTCTTTGTTTCAAAGCAATTATCTACATGTGAGCTAAAGCCAAAAGCTTAAACAAAAATCTAAGTGTTGAGCTCAAATCCTGGCTGTTAAAAATCAGTAACATTTTACTTAAAAGTGTAAACAGTAAAAGTATCGACACTGATGTTAGGATTTAATGAATTCAGAAGACACATTTGACATTTACCTTTGCAGTTGCCATGGAAAGAAATTTATTGGTTAAATAAATCAAACACTTTAAGTTTTTAGCCAAGGGACAGGAGAAACTTCTCCCCAACACTCTGCTACCTGGAACAGCTAAAATTAAGCAAAACAACAACAAAGGGACTGAAAAATCTCCAAGAGGCAGGACAATAAATCATCCTGGATAACCCAAGGCAAGGAAAAAGTCACAATGTAAACAAGAATGTATTTTGAATGGAGTGAAAGTGAAATCAGACTATCAAAATACATGCTACAAGGCTAAAGGCATCCTTAGATTTTGGGAGCTGGAGAGATGGCTCAGCCGTTAAAGGCGCTTCTGCCCTTCCAGAGGATCCCACTTCAGTTCCCAGGAAGCCGACAGCCAACTGTCACTCCAGTTCCAGGGAATCTGACATCTTCCGGCTTCAAGGGCAGCTGTACACATGTGGCAAATGCCCACATAGAGACACAAATATACTTGATTTAAAATAAAATAAATCTTTAAAAAATTCTTTATTAAGAAAGAGGTCTAGGACATGGCTTAGTGGTGGAGCTCTTGCCCGGCACTTCAAGACCCCGAGTTTGACCCCAGCACTCCCCTCCAGGAGAAAAGATCCACCACGCAGACAGGCTTCATTGGAGAAGCCTGTGTGTTGAGTTTGTTTCTTCTGCAGTTAGTATTGGGTTTTAATTGCCATTACAGCAATTAGGCAGAGGACTGAGGAGACAATGAACTCCAGTGGGCTTTTCTCTCCTGCATGGATTAACACCATCGTCGGTGCAGGATTTGGCTCCCTTTTTCACTCCAGCTCATCCTGGGCTTGTCTTTTCCTCATGTGATGCCTTCTTCTGTGTTGTGATTCAGTCGGAAGGCTTTGTCTGGTGCTGGTCTCTGGATCTTGGACTCCTCGGCCTCCAGAGCTGTGAGTCAGTGCATTTCTGTTCATTGTAGGTCTCAACCTGTGATGCTGTTACAGCAATACGAAATGTCCACAGACAGAAAATCACGTTTTTAATTCTCCTCTATGTGTGTGTGCGTGTGGAATATCAGATCCCCTGTAGCTGGAGTTACAGGCAGTTGTGGGTCACCTGATGCGAGTGTTGGGAATCAAACTCGGGTCCTCTGCAGGAACAGTGCATGTTCTTAATTGCTGAGCCGTCTCTCCAGCTTAGGACATAATTTTATCAAGCATATAGGTAAGAAATGTTACCATGTCCACACAGTTTTAAAGTTTTCAGAAAATAGATTTCCAACTATTGTCATGAGGCTGTGTTCTTCTGATGCCTAAAAAAACAAAAAACAAAAAATTCACTATAAATAAATAAACAAAATGGCGAGCCACTATCATCGATGTAGGGCCTTTAAGAGTGCATTAGCAAACCCAAACTCACTTCACATCAGAGGCTAGCACCTTTAGAAGTAGGGTTTGCTGCAGAATCCAAAGTTGGTTTCAGGTTTCAAAATCTCTCAGTATAGGTAGACGTGGTGATACACACATGTAAGGCCAGCCCTCGGGAGGCGGTGGCAGGAGGATCATGATTACAAGGCCAACCTGGGCTACAGAAGGAGATCCAGGCTCAGAAGAAAGAATCGAGTGGAAACTCATAGAAGGGAACAACTCGATATCTGTGTGAGCAGTCTCTAAAACAGCCTCCAGTCTGAGTCCTCCGGAGGGCTCGTAGGACTCAGCATGTATATATTCAGAGGCATGGCTGGGAGTTAGCACAGCGAAGGGCATAATGCAACACCAGCAAAGCTAAAATCTGTGTGGTCCACTTTCAAAGGCCATGTGCCGTGCTTAGTCCATCCAAGACATGTGACGTGAGAAATGTTGTCTATCAAGAAAGCAGAGAAGTCAGAGTGCAGGGTTCTGACCTGGGCTGACCACACAGACAACCTCTGCACAGTACACACCCAAGGTCCAGACTCCTGGCAGGAGAGGAGCCGGTGCTCAGCACAGGATATATTATTGGTGCAGGCAGTCTAGGCACAACGAACCAGTCTTACCAATCCTGGAGATGGTGGAAACGCTCCTGCAATCTAAGTCCCCAGAGGCTCCCTGAGGGCAGCCTTGCAGCTGGACTTTCAGCCCAGCTGTGTCTGCTCTGATACACAGAGCTCAGCAGATGTGCCCATCTTCAGCACACCTCTGCCAAGCAAACAAACATGACAATACTCATTTCCCATTCATAAACTTTCAGTAAACTTGGAATAGAAGGAAAGTTCCTTGACTTGAGAAAGGACATTTGTAAAAGGCAAAAATCAAAACTACAGCTAGCCATATTCTTCATGGTGAGACCTCAAGTGCTCTTGCCTGAGGTTGGACGCGCCAAGGTTGTTCACGCCTGCCTTTCCTCCTCAAGTTGTCCTGGAGACCTTAACTCACTCCATAGTCCAAGAATAGAAGACATATGCATTAATTAGATGTTTTGTTGATGTGACAAAATGTCTGATAGATTATTGTGTGTGTGTGTGCATGTGTGTGAGCTAGTGTATATGTATGTGTGTGTGTTAGTGTATATGTATGTGTGTGTTAGTGTATATGTGTGTGTAGGTATATGGAAGACAAGTTTACCCTGAGTGTTGTTCCTCAGTAGTTTTTTTGAGGCAGGTCTCTTCCTGAGCCCTGGGGACACACAATAATTAGGTTAGCCTGGCTGGCTATCTGTCCATCTGTCTGTCTATCTATCTATCTATTTATCTATCTATCGTCTATCTTATTTTCTATCATCTATTATCTATCAATCTATCATTTATCTATAAAGCTATCATCTATCCATCCATCCATCATCTATCTCATATCCCTGGCTATATCAGGGATCCTTCTGTCTCCAGATCTCCAGCCCTGGGGTTATAAGTATGTGCTGTCACACATGGACTCTGGAAATCAAGCGGAGGTCCCCATGCAAGCTCTTTCCTTACTGAGCTCTCTCTAAGCCCAGAAGGCAACTGAGGAAGACACCCAGAGTTAAATTCTGGCTTCTACATGAATGCACATGTACACACATGTAGCACGTGCGTGTGTGTGTGCGCGCGCACACACACACACACACACACATTTTCCCATTCACCCAGAGTTTAAACTGGCTACTGAATAAGCAAGTCCAGGGGCTGGGAAGGAAGCATGTTAGGTGAGGAGAATTCCTGCCGTTGGAAGGAGAAACAGAAAGAAACCCTTTCACTGGGAGACAAGGGAAAGTCAGAGCAGACTATACTAGGACTAAGACGTTGCCCGGGGCCCTTGGGTAAATAGTGAGCTGTGCTCTCTGCATTCAGCTCAGATCCCTTTTCAGACACAGCTTGGTGTGCCTGAAATGACACCTTGGCCTGCAGTGGAAACATGTCCCAAATCACCTGGCAGACAGGCGTCCCAGCAGTGAGTAATCACTGTCGGCTGACCATACAGACACGCAGAAGACAAGTGCTTCGTTAATTGTTTGAAGTCAGTGATGCCAAGGATGGAGTCTGTTGTTACTGCTTACCGAGGCCTCACACCGTGCCAAATTCTTGTCCCAGTCACCACACAGGAGAGCGTTGAGCAGCAGCGATGTGGCCCCAGTGGCTTAATATTTGGCTGGCAGCGAGGGCGCATGAGTGTCTAGACAAATGCTGTGTGAGTGAGCATCATGTGGCCGAGCTCAGGGAGCGTGTATTTAAGGACATGTTGTGTAAACTGCAGTTAGGAGGCAGGTGAGTCTGAGAGGTTAGAAGGAGAGCCAGGAACCAGAGCAGCCAAGCTGAGTAGATCCCCGGGGACCTTACGTGGGGGGCTGGAGACAAATCCTGACGGTGTGTCTTCCAAGGGGTCTGTGATGAGTGAAAGAACAAACTCACCCAATCCTCTGTTCTCCTGCCCCTCGGGACAAAGTGACCTGTTTCAATGAGAGCTTTTTTGACCAAGACCCCCGGGCCCTAGAGCAGAGTTGTCTCAACTGTGATTCCAGTGTGGGTCCTAGAGAAAAACACCCACTACTAATGAGAGGCATCTAGTCCAGGGTCCAGGTCCTGGGATGAAGCCAAGAAAGAGGAGGATGGGTTTTTTGTACACTAGTGGTCTAATCTTGTGTGTGTGAGTGTATGGAGGTCAGGGGACAGGCTCATACGCTCACCCTGGTCTCCCACTTTGTTTGAGAGAGTGTCTGTTTGCCACTGCAGACTCCAGGCTAGCTGGCCCCCATTCTCCCAGAATTCCCAACTCCACCTCCCACTTAACTGCAGGCATGCTGGGATTACAGGTATGTGCTACTATGACTGGCTTCTCATGGGCCCCGGGATCTGGACTGAGGTCCTCGTGTCGTGTAGCAGGCACTTTTGCCTACTGAGTCATCTCCTCACCCCAGAAAAATGTTTCTAGGATCCCCCCCCCATTTAGAATCAAATGGGTCTGTTACTTAAGGGAAAATACACAGACTTTAAAATTGTAGATTCTCTTCTTGACTCACTCATACACTATTATTGAGGAAAAAAATGAACTATATTGTTACAAAATGAAAGAGTTCCGAAAATCCTTTATTACCAGAATCGGTCAAACGTGTTCCACATTGCTGACACAGCCTTCTGTAGCTCAGGCCAGCAGCTCTGACCATGGCTGGTGAGACCTGCTCCTGCCGACCTTCTCAGGCTCTTAGCCCAAACATCGCATGTAGCTTAAAGTAAGACATTTAATGACGGCCACAAAATGTAATAGTACTTTAACATATTACATACAATAAACGCAACTGTAATGCATGCATCCATGACACACACATGAGGATTAGAAACCTGCTGTCATCGGGGGGATAGTAACATATTTATAGTTAAACACCGAGGCCATGCCGTGTGCCAAGCACAGTGCAGGAGGCTGGCACAGAGGGGTTAGCCCTCTAATAAAAACGACATAATGACAAGTGACGCCGAGGACGTGGGAAAATGAGCACCTCCAACCCTGCTGGTGGCTTTGCCAAATGGTGCCACTGCAGTTAAGAGTGGAGTTACCATGTGACCCAGTAAGTCTGCCACCAGGAGTTACTCAAGGAAAAACAAAAGCACACGTCCACAAAAGATTAGTCACAAAAGCTCACCCCCACCCTCGCCATGCGGCTGATAGACAGACAGATAGTAAAATGAGGTCTGTCCACACGGCAGGGCGCAGCTTGCCAGTTCGGGGCTGATGCAGGTTGTGCTATGGCTGGGACATCTGCGTCCCCTCAAGACTCGCACAGCAACCCCTAATTCCCAGTGCACAGCGTGAGATGATGGGGGTTTAGCCAGTGAGTAGGGCATGAAGGTGGAGTGACCGAGAGTGGAACTGGCAACCTTACAAGAGAGACATCCTCCACCCAGTGGTACCCATCTGTAATCTCAGCACTTGGGAGACCCAGCCAGGTGAGCCAGGGTTACCGACTGAGGCTCTGTCTCAGAACACCCAAAACAAAGGAGGGGGGTTGGGGGTAGGAGACTCTCAGACATCCCTTCCCTCTTCTGCCACACAAGCACACAGCAGGAGCATGTGACCAGCGAGTGGCTCCACAGCAGGCGCTGGAGCTGCTGGCATCTCGATTTGGGGCTCTCTCGGCACCCATAGCTATGAGAAGTGCAGTTGAGAGGAAGAGGCCCCAGGAGCCAGGCGTGGCGGTGCACGCCTGGAAACCCAGCACTCGGTAGACACGGGAATGGGGAGTTTGAGGCCAGCCTACATCACAAGACGCACTGCCTCAACACATGAACAAGTGTTTGTTGCTTGCAAATTGCCCGGTCAGAGCTATTTGTCATAGAAATCATATGCTCAGTGTGGGAGGCTCTTGCAGACACAGCAAGGGAAGACGAGGCCAATCACAGGACACATCGAGGGCGAGAAGCTGATCACAAATGGCCGTCTCCTGTGGGACTCACACGCGTGGGTCCAGAACCAAGGAAATGCACACAGGTAGCAGATTCAAGGTTTCTGTGCACTGGGTGGGGGGAGACTGAAAATAGATATGGATTTCTTTTTAGGGTCATGAAAATGTCCTAAAAGTCCATGAACATACAGAAAGGCTTTATGTTGTACACATCCACTGTGGCATGTGAATTATACCTTAATGTAATTAGTGAGCAAACTGTGTGCTGGACAAACTGTGTGCATTCGCAACTATGAATCATATGCAAAACCCTGGGTTTGATTTCTGGTATGATCAAAAAGAAAATAAATTTAGAAACACATTTTTAAAATGACTAAATAGTGACTTCGGATGTAGTTCAGGTGGTACTCGCATACAGTGTACAAAGCCCTGAGTTCCATTCCCAGTACCACACAAATGGGGTGTGATAGTATAGAGACCTCAAATCCCAGAACTCAGGAGGCAGAGGCAGGAGGATCAGAAATTCAAGATCATCTTGGCTACACAACAACTTTGAGATCAATCTGGCCTACATGAGACTCTACTGGGAAAAATGTAAATAAAACAAAAAGGGCCGCCTTGTTAGAGATAACTGGGACTAGAACAGTAAAGGCAGAGGATATGAAGCAGTGTCTTTGCATACTGCAAGGGAATGATGTCCATGCACAACTGTCCACCCCACACACCACGCACACATGCACACACCGAGAGAAGAGACACACCCCATGTACACACACTGCACACACACTCACACTCAGAGAGAAAGAGACTACACACATACACCATGCACACGTACTCACACTCAGAGAGAAAGAGACTACACACATATACCATGCACAAACACTCACAGCATAGAGAAAATAGAGACACCCCACATACACACCACGCATACACATTCACAAAGAGAGGACACACACACACACACAAATGACAAGTATCAAATTATACCCCTAAGTATGTAAAAGAATGAAGTATCAAATTTAAGAAGTGACCTAATAGCCTAAAAGTCATGGATTGGGAAGATGGCTCCGTAGGTAAGAACACTTGCTCTTGCAGAAGTCCTAGGTTAGGTTTCCGGCACCGACAGAGAAGCTCATAACTGTAACTCTGGTTCCAGGGGAAACAATGCCCTTGTCTGACCTCCTCAGGAACCACGCATGGACGCGATGCACATACACACGTGCAGGCGAAACACTCACGGGCGTAAGGTAAATTTAAAAAACAAAAACCATGGCGTTGGAACTGAAGGCTGTTACTAACGCAGCTAAATAAAATTTTAGTGGTACTTCCAAGTAGCTAGCGGAGCATCCCGCAAGACAAGTTAGATTACGGCTTCAGGGTAAAAGCAAAGAAACAAGAGAAGGCTCAAAATAAGAACAAAAGCCAAGCCGGGCGTTGGTGGCGCACACGGCTTTAATCCCAGCACTCGGAAGGCAGAAGCAGGTGTATCTCTGTGAATTCAAGGGTAGCCTGGTCTATAAAGTAAGCAACAGGCCACCCAGGGCTACATAGTGAGACCCTGTCTCCAAAACAAAACAAAGAAAGGCCCCAGGTAGAGTACTCATTTTCAGTTGCTACGTAGTGATTTCAATAGGGACTGGTTAGTCCTTACTTGGAGGGGGCAGATCTGCAGACTTGGGAGCCTGTTCAGGGTCTCCCACGGCAGATATCAAGATGCCTATGAGCTTGAGTTTCTGTCTAGAGGCTCTAGAGGAAAATCCACTTCTAAACTCTTTTTTAAAAATGTTATTAATTTTTTTCTGGGAGGTGGGAGTGTGTGGGTGTCAAGGTGTGCACAGGAGACCAGAGAATAGTGGGAGTTGGTTTTCTCCTTCCACCACGTGTGTCCTGGGGATTGAACTCAGGCTGTCAGGCTTGGCAGCAAGCACCTTTACCCGCCAAGCCCTCTCCTGGGCCCTTAAGCTCATTCTTGCTGACAAAATTCAGTTCCCTGGGCTGTAGGTCTGAGGTCCCGAGTTTCTTGCTGGCTGTCACTGGAAGCTGCCACATCCCTTGTCACAGGGCACACTCAATCCAGCCACAGAACTCAGAAAGACACAAGCTTTTTTTTTTTTTTTTGATTGCCCCGGTGTTCATGAAGCTCACAGAGCCCAGAGCATTGTCCTTTTTCTTTTTCTTTGTGCTCCTCCGGTGCTGGCTCGTGGTCCCCTAAAATGTAGTTTCTATGTTAAAAACAAAAACAAAGAAAACCCCCAGAACTCGGATAACTCTCAAAACGTCAGAAGGTGCCGCCATGCAGGCCACTTGGCCCCTGCTGACTGAGGTGAGCAGGGCCGCCTCTCCCAGCAGCCGTATTCTTCCCAGCTGTCCTGACGTCAGGCGCTGCCAAATGCTGCTGGCAACCCCCGGATCTGGAAAGCCCCTACCACAGAGCCAGATCTCACACCGCGCTCCTCTCATTTAAGAAAAGGGTACAGGAAGGGAGGGGCGGGGGGGGGGCTGCCTTCATTTTCATCACGACCCCGCTGTTATAGATGTTCTATTTGTCACTGATAGAAACTAAATAGGCCTTCTGCTTCATGTCACAGGGTTACTTTCCCTCAAACCAGAGAACGCCAAGGGGCTCTGCCGGAGAAGAGCTCGCCTTGCAAGCCCGAAGAGCCAAGTTTTACGCCCAGCACACGCACCAAAAGGCCAGGCCTCACGGCGGCACACACTGTAACCAGCACTGGTGAGGCAGAGGTGGGCAGATCCCCGGGGCTCACTGGCTAACCAGCTTGGTGTAATCAGGGAGCCCAGGCCGGTCAGAGAGCCCGTCTCAAAGACCAAAGAACAAGCACCAGAGAAGCAGTGGCCAAAGTTGACCTCCGGCCCCCACGCACAAAGGCCGCGTGTAGTTACACCAACACGTGCACACACCAACACGTGAGCACACCAACACGTGCACACCGCCACGGACTTGTGTGCGTTGGGCTTGGGAGGGCACCAGAAACCACACGTCTGCCTCTTGCGACGCGAAACCGCGAATCTCAAATACTGAGGATTTCCCTTTCCCATGGTCAACTGAACAGTTCGTTCTCTGAGCAGATGGAAGACGACGACATGGCAGAGGCGCCGAGTCATTGGAGCCCCCCCACTCTCCTGGTACGTGTGTAGGTGACAAACGAGAGCGCCTCAACATTTTCGACACGTGGTATTCTCTCCTTACCACAGCTATCAGCTTCTAAGCTTTCAGTTACCCAAAGCCAACAAACGTTCACGGAAAATTGCAGAAGTAAATAATTCACAAGTTTAAGTTGCGCGCTTTCTAAATGTCGCAGTGGAGGCTTGTTGCGCTGTGGCGCGGCTAGGGGGTCATTCCTGTTTCAGTGCGTCCACACTCTATCTGCTGCTCTCCCGTTAGCCACGGAGGCGCCATCTTGGATATCAGTTTGGCTGTCATGGCACTTTTGTTGGAGTAAACTCCTATTTAATCACGGCCCCCAACATGAGTAGTAATGCTTGGCAATGGGATAGCCAAGGAGAGCCCCATGAATTGCTTCCTATAAGAGTAGATGGACAGTGAGACATTTTCTGGGAGACTACATGTTTTTAACGTTTGCCCTAGCATATTGTTATCATTGTTTCTGTTGTAATTAATTACTGTGGTTAATACCTTACTGTGTCAAATTTATACGTTAAACTTAGTCACAGGCAAATATACACAGGAAAAAAAGGTGTATCTAAGTATATATCGAGTATTGTCCACAGTTGCTGGCATCCACCAGGAGTCTTGGCATGTATCCCCCGCCCCAATATTTTGTCCCAGGCTGAAGACACAGCTCAGTTGTAAAGTGCTGACTATGCAAGTATGAGGACCAGAGTTTGGGTCCCCAGAACTCCTGTAAACTCAGTGTGACCATGGGGACTAACCTGCAATTCTAGCCCTAGGAAGACAGCACAGAGAATCCGCAGAGTAAGCTGGCTAGCCAGACTTGCTGTACTGGCGAGCTCTGGGTTCAACCGAGAGACCTTGCCTCTGTGAATGGAGAACATTCAAGGAAGATCAGTATCGGCCTCTGGCCTCTTTGCACACACACAGGTTCATGCTCCCACAAGCATGTGGACACCACACACACACACACACACACACACACACACACACACACACACACACACCCCACACACACAGCTAGGAAACATTCTGTCCCGATGCTGTCATTGGATTTTTGCTCTCTAGGCTCCATTTTAAGGGCACGGATGGTCTCAATTTAGCAGGCCAGGCTTGTAGCTGGAAAGATTTCTCAATCCCACAGTTCTCTGAGGTCTGCCCGTGACTGTGGCTGGGTCAAACCAGACACTACAATCTAATAACTTGGACTTCTCTTTTGTGTTCCTCCCACCCCCAGAGTTATAGGCCATGAAATCCCTTTGTTAAAATAGCCATAAAAACATAGTATTAAAATATCTCATTATTAAGAAAGTACACCCAGCCACAAAAGCAGGGCCTCGGTCAAGGTTGACTCAAAAACACAAATTCTAATTCCTTGGAGAACTGGTTGTGTTGAGATATTTACAGGAGGTCAGGGGTCTCTCCTTCCTCCAGAGACCCAGAGACGTGGGCAGAGGTGAAACCAGGCAGGCCTCTCAGGCTTTGTTTGTTCTGGAAGGAAGTCTGGAAAATGCCCCCTGTGGTTTCTGCAGGGCCTGGAGACAGGCCCCACAGCATTGCGGATGAAAACAAACCAACCTTCTGGGGCTTCAGCACAGTTTATTAGCAAAGGCCTCTCGGAGAGCTTCCAGATGTGCCCGCTTCCAGATGTGCCCGCGGGATTAGGAGAGGAACTTGAAAGGGTGGAGAAGTCAAAGCATAGTGCAAGACCAAATAATAATCATCATAATTTTTAAAAATCACCTCAACTTGATGGAGGCAGTGGAAAATTTCTAAGTGTGCAGTCCATGGCAACCCAGCAGTCTGAGGTGGATGTGAGACCATTTGTTTTCAAGTCCTCAAGTCCCATTTGGGTCATGAAGTCACTCCCTGAGGACCGGGCTAGCGGTCCAGAGCCATCCTTGATCCCTCAGCGCACACCCAGGAGGTCATGGTTTGGCTGCTGTCATTTATACTCCCAACTCACTGGGGTCTGGCAGGCACAAACAACGCCTGGCTGTTAGCTGACTAAACCTTTATTGCATTCCCAAAGCCTGTGTGTGACTGCTGGGTGGATGCGTGGATGCGTGGATG